ACTCGGATCGCTTGCCATTCCCAACATCGCTCACTATGTCGTGCTCGACAAAGATGCGGACTCGACTTTTGAACTCAAGAGGGAATACTTGCTCCAAGTACACGCGTCTGTGATGTGCTTCAAACCAACTACCATCTACATCTATACACACCGACCACGAATCCTCTGTAATTGTCACATATTCCCTTCCATTGCAGCCTATAGCCCAGGTCGTTACAAGCCGAAGCACCACACGACTGGAATCAACACACTCCATCCAGTACGCGTCTTTCCCCTCCACTATGCACACGGCGGCGGGAACATTTCCTCGATTGCCGCATTGATGGCCGCAGTATGACATCCAGGGCACCGACAATACTAATGAATCGCATTGGTCAGCTTCCAAGCCCATGCTCGCCCATATGATCCCACTTGAGGTATCTATCGAGCTTACCTTTGATGCGCCCGGAATAGTTGTCACGGTCCCTTCGTACTCAACACACGCTACCAAGGCTTCTTTTGTCGCCGGGGACAGTTTTTCGACCACTAGTTGCTCGATACATTGCGACGCGTTCATCACGTCCAAGCAGGCGTATTCATCTTTGGGGCACTTGTCTTGGAGGGCTTGCGTGTGGATGGTGAAGAAGAGGAGGAAGAGGAAGTTGAAGAGGGTGGTAAGGCAGTACATCATTTGGGATTCTTTTAATATTCGAGAAAAGATTTTTCGATATATGTGTTATATACTCCCTCGATTCTGCACAATTCAGAAGAGGTTTGCGTCATGGGTTCCCGGTGCGATTACATGAATGAGTGAGAGTGAGAACACGCCCCACCACTGCGGCAATTCACATCCCACCTTGGCCCCACAACTACTGTACAACTGCTGGATCAGCATGAGTAAATTCAATCTTTGCAAGACCCAGCATATTGGAAATAGATGGGCGTATAATTATCTTCAGGGATCCTAGCTCCTTGTCCTCGTTAAGATCCGTGATGCTGATTGGCCACCTAAAGTCCGCGACTATATACCCATATAGATAGATGGCTTTCAGCAGCACCGTACAACACAGTATATTGTGAGAAACGTATGATGACATGCATATCTTGTCCCATCTCAAGCGCATCGATCTTGGAGCTTCGATAGGTTAATCTAGATGCGCCAACCAATTTTTCATTGCTCCAGCACTGATAGATAGTCCTGAAGAGCCCCAGCGCCTACGCGATTTCATTGTCACCAGCACTGCATCGTACCATTCTTATCTTTGTTTGACGTTTTCTCACTCCAGGAATCTTTGTTTGTTAGCTCGCGTTCAACTCGAGGTATTCCAAGATGAGGTGGAATCAGCTCCTCATCGCGGCCCTTGCGGTGCCATCAAATGCACTAGTCCGCTTCCATTGCTCACAGCTCGTCACTCAAAGACTCGATCCTCTGGTGAATCCAGGGCAGACGCCATCATCGCATGTGCACCGTATGTAGCACTCGGTCTCTAAACTCGACGGACTTGTGCTGACTTTGGTCTGTTGGACGCTAGAGATCGTTGGAGGCGTGAGTCAAATGCAATGAAGATGGAGTTGGAGATGTGTGGATTACTGACAGAGCGACAAGGACTCGTTTAATGCTACTATGGATCCTGCAAAAGATGTTCCGGGGGAAGCAACGTGCACATCGTGCCAGTGAGTAAAGTCATGCGTTGGCAAGGCTGAACGACACGCAGATTGATTAACGTCCACCAGATTCACTGAAGAGGTACGCACATATAGATCCGATAAAAACCATGTTCTTTCGAAGCTGTATACTTTCTTTCTCCCAGATTGCGTGCTAACTTTATTGCAGTAAGGCGAGCGATCCTTCAGCAGCGATATGTGTATCAATGGTCCGTCCTGTGTAGCTAATCAGAGTAGCTTCTCCAACTACTGGACCGCCGTATTATGTACGTATCTCCGGGGCACAAGGTGTATATTCTATGTCGGGATATGTTCACAAGCCATGATCTTGAACTGTATACTCCTTGAACTGTGTACTTTGCTCCTCTCTTTACCCAACATCTACTAACCACTACCCTCCACTCCAGACTTCCGCCATCAAAACGGCAGCTACAAGCGCGTGCCCCAACTCGGCAACAACCAGTTCCGCACTGCCAACGGCGGTCTGACAATCTACTACATGCAAGACGCCATCTACCAGCCGAACCAGACGTCAAAAGTGACGGCCTTCCAGCCAGGCTTCCGCATGTTCATCGGCGACGTCGCAGCCAGGACACTAGAACAAGCGGGGAAGTTTAGACAACTCACGTACACGTGCCTAGACACCTTCGTCACGCGGTCGCCGGAGCTGATCGCGTTCCCGGAGAGGAAGTGTGCGGAGGGCATAATGACGTCGTTGAGGTTTCCGACGTGCTGGGATGGGAAGAATTTGGACAGTCCAGACCATGCCTCGCACATGAGTTATCCGTATACCTTACCCTCCCTCTCCCTAGTTCTAGTCACATCCAGACCCATCTAATTACCCTCCCCCAGCGAAACCGGCACCTTCGAATCCAGCGGGCCCTGCCCCGCCACCCACCCTGTCCGCACCGCCCAAGTCATGTACGAAGTCGTATGGGACACGAAACCCTTCCACGATCTCTGGCCCGCAGACGGACGCAATCCCTTCGTATGGTCCTTTGGCGATGCCACCGGGTATGCGAATCACGCCGATTACGTATTCGGCTGGAAGGGGGACGCGTTGCAGAAGATTCTGGATGTTCCGTGCCATTTCGCTACCAACTGCTCCGAGTACGGCGTGAAGATGCAGAGCATCGACAAGATGAATGCGTGTACGCAAAAGGCGGTTGTGAAGGAGGATATCGATGGATGTAAGTGATGGAAGTTTGTTTCTTTTGGGCCGATTGAGGTGTCGGGAAGTGGGACGATACGAGGATGGATGAACTTTGCTAACCATTGAACGATAAATGCAGGGCTCCAAGAGTTGCCCGGCGGTTTCCAAGCGTCGTACGGTCCTACGTCGGCGTGAAAATGCTGCTTTCCCAAAGGAAGATATATGTATGGAGAAGGCCATTGTGGACGGGTCGCCTGATGTTACGAGCTCGATCAAAGACCACAAGTTCAATTGGCACGTTATTACAGGATTTCCTTTTCCAAGTTGGTACTACATACCTTCCATTGTGGATTTGGCCCTTTCTACTGTCGTATTGATCTATTTAGAAGTACAACTCATAGTTGATCAAAGCCGTCTGTCTTGCCATTGTTTCGTTTCGCGTCATCCGAAGCTGCTCAATATTTTGTGAGCTTATCCAAACTATTATCCGCATTTATCTAGTCTGTATGTACAGGGACAAGTTCCATACATACCCTTACTGTTTACTGGAATGCAGAGCATATTCCAGAGGAAGATGCACGAAACCTCTAAAAATGGGCCATGCTCTCGTAATCATCCTCCGACCATGTTCGTCGATACTTACAGAACAACAAGCCCGTGTCAAGCGAGGAATTTCTTGCTTCTCCGCCTCCCTTTCCCTTCTCTTCGTTGAGCCCACAGCCACTTGCAACCTTGCAATCCTCGGCCGATCTATCTCTACCAGGAAGGGCTCTCCTGGTTCCAGCGGACTTACTCGAGTGCTTTCTCGACTCGTCAAAAGCTTTGAGTGGGACAAGAGGCACGTTCTTACTAAGGAGACGATGTTTTATATGTCGGCATCGCGGAGTAGGCGTAGGCGTAGGCGTAGGCGTAGGCTGCGCTTGGCTCGTAGTTCGAGGAGAACGTATGAGGTGACGCGAAATTGAGAGTCACGCACCTCGAAGGGTTTCCACAAAGTATGGAGCAAATCGAATGGGGCTCAACTCACCAATACTACTAAAAGATGTAGCTAGTGGAAATATCCCGATCGGGCGATATATCTCGAGTGCGGGAAAGTACGAGCTTGAAAAGGAGGGTTGTGGACAAATCGGAGGCGCAAGGATACAAATAACGAGGCGCTGTTTGACAAGCGGTACGAGCGCGCGGGTGTCTTCCGGTCGTCAAAGGAGTACAGACCAAGGGAGCATTTTACTCGAGGTCCAATACGAGTCGTGACCAGGAGCAAGCAGTCTTGCCATCTGTTTATAGACGAAGCACTTTATGAGTCTCATTTGGCTTGCCCAACCAAGGCTCACAAAGCTACCAACTTCCTCCACACTAGAAGGCGAGGGAGGACAGACTGGACTGGACTGGACTGCATGAGTTCCGCTTCTTGACTTACTTTTTTCCCCATTGTTCTGCTTGGATGGAATCGAGGGAAATTGATTGGCGTGGGGCGAGCGAGCGATTTGACACATGTTCTTTGCGGCGACAATAGATGTTGAATCGCCAGCCAGTCCTTGTCCATATTGCCGAGGAGGACGAGGGAGAATATCTTCTACCGATATGATACAATATCAGCACCACGCGTCAAGGGATCAGCGAAGAGGTATCCCCTCCTCCTTGTATCTGGTTGACTATATATATATATATATATATAGAGCGCAGGTACTTTATCAACGGATTTCGACCAAATAAGGATCGAGTGCTTGTATCCGCAGCTATGTTCGACGTCGGGAATCGGTGCTACTGCGATCGACCATGATGCTTGCTGGTATTGACGTATGTATGTACAAGTCTATATACATTAACAAGCCTTATAAGCACATACCGTAATATACACATATGTATCATACAACTAAGTACCCACATTATTCATTTATTTATGAGTCCAGACTGGGGTATTAATTGAACTAGAAAATACTTTACTCAATACCCTCCCTGATTGATAAAACCCAGACCACCAAACAAACGCTTTTCCGCCGCCCCCACCCACGGACCCACATCCATATCCACATCCACATCCATATCCACATCCACATCCACGTCCTCGCAATAAAATTTTCATCATTCTGTCTGGCATGGAAACCAAAGAGTAAAACCACATCACATCGATGTGGTATATATATCCTTTACTTTTCCATTTCTTCCATCAAATCAACAAACAACTGATGATTCAAAACAAGTCGCTTTAGCTCACTTGGGAGAGCGCCAGACTGAAGTTACACTTCGGTTATCAAACATCTGGAGGTACTGTGTTCGATCCACAGAAGCGACATCTTGATCGATGATACATTCCTTTTTGCCCTTTTTTGCCCTTTTTTCTTTCATGCCTGATATATATATATTATCTAGCTTAGATATTTTCACTCACATTCCTTCATTCATTGTGTATGTACATGGTGCGCGGATTTTTTTTTTACTAATTCCTAGGATGGCAATAGATGCAGATGATAACAAACATACATGCCAAACTGGGTATTTTCAGCGATGTAAAACAACATTGACAGCAAGATGCGACAGTGTATATCATACAAAGATGCATTAGACCGACTGAACGCCATGCGTAAATATGAGAAGCGGTGAATCGACGACTATCTAAACTAGACCAATATCCATATGACAAAACGAGAACCCGTAGCAACGCTGAACATCAAAATGAGTGAGAACCGCCTCCGCAGTATAGAGCCCGACAAGCGACTTCTCCAGCGGCACGCAACCTTTGCAAATTTCTCTTGAGCTATCTACTGGGTCTCATCAACGACCTCCTTCTCTGTGGACTCCTCGTAGACTGGGGGGGCGTCGTATTTGGGAAGATCGGCGTAGGCAGCCTTGTCAGCACCCGCTTCGGTGCCCTCATCGTCCTCGTCTTGCGCGACGCTCTCATATACAGAGCGACCACGTACCTTGGCCACGAGAATGGCAACGAGGCAGCCCAAAGCCATGCCGATGAGGTACGTGAGAGTTCCAGCGAAGATGCCAATGAGAATCGGGACAAAGATGGTGAAGAAAGCACGACGAAGGAACATGTGCATTCTGTGATGAGAATGATGACGATGGCCGTGGTGGCCATTCTGTCCCTGGTGATGAGGGTGGTGGGGGTGGTGGTGAGGACGGCCGTTGGAGCCAGGACGACCAGCAGGGCGGCCGCCGGGGTGGAACCTGTGCGGTGGCTTGCCATGTGTAGTCTCCTGTGCCATGGGGTTTCCCTTGTTCCTGTGGCAGCCCTTGCCCATGGAACCCTTGATGCCGTTGACTTTGTCCGAGAGGATGCTCTTCCACTTGCAAAGAAGAGGCCACTCCTGACACTCTTTCTCTTGTTCGATCGGGCTTCCCTCTCCAGCCTTGGCTGACCGGAACGACGCAATCATTAGGCGGCCGTTGACGTCTTTGAGCATGTTGATTGTGAGGGCTGATGGGTCGACCGACTTGGATTCGATTGAAGTGATGCGGAACGTCATGGGAAGAAGTTCAGTGCCGGCCTCTTCGATGGTCTCGGCATGGCTATAGTGGAAGGTGTATCCGGTGACGCGGAGTCGGAGAGGTTCTTCGGATTTGGAGTTGACTTGGGTGACGTAGAATGGAGCTCCGAAGTAGCCGAAGGATGGAGGATAGAGCTGAACACCACCGATATTGAGGCTGTCTTCGTGCGCGCCGACTTCAAAGTCGAGAAGCTGTTCAACATGGTCAGCAATGAACAGCCGCCGCGTGCCGGGTATGAATTTACAAAGTGGCTACCCGCGTTTGGTGTCCAAGACAGCGATTCGCCATCCTGCGATGCGAAAGGGCAACCTGGACAATCCAAGGCAACTGTGCGTTTGAATGGGTTGACGGCAAGCGTCTCCATGGCTAGGTCGTCGCCCAGATCGTCTGCGTTGAAACTGGGGGGTATGAGGACTGCACTGGTCGCCAGCGCCAGGCTGGCGAACACGCCAAAGTTTCGGATGAACATGATGAGAGGTTAAGGGAAGAAACGTGGGTATACCAAGAGAAAGGAGGAAAGAGGTATGTAGAGAAGAATAGAGAGTGGTGGTGTTGGTCAAAGGAGGGTTGGGGCTGAGTAGAACAAGCGCCACGCTGCCGCGTCATCACCCGAAAGGGACTAGTGTTTCGTCATCCTGTGATGAATGTTTCATTCACCGTTTGAGTATGTAAGTTGCTGAAACTTTCTACCTTTGTAGGACAACGTCAATGGAGAATGGCAAATTCAACAACTGCGCGTTGATTGCCAATTGGGCTAGAGAAAACTTAGGCAATCAAGACTAAAAGGTAAGGCTGATATTCCGCACGACGCCTGGAGGACTTTTCCGAGGATGCGCTTCGACTTCATATATGTTCTACTCGTATTCGCGCCGTTCCAGACAGCTCGGTACTGGCATGGCTACAATCAATACCCGGTACTGTTGGATTGTTCGTATACCCCTGGAGAGGAAATGTTCATATCAATACGTATAGCCAATTTTGTCAACACGATGACCTGGCTTTTGCACTTGTTCATTTTCTACATTGATATCGACACGGAATGTCCATCAATGGACGAGCAGAAAGGGAATGAAAAAGGAAAGAGGAGGCACCAAGAAACAAACCATGGTAGGACTAGTAAATAGAAGATGAAAAAGATGCACCGCAGTCAGTACGGTGGCTACCAAAAGTCCTAGGCAATACGAAGAGAGTGAATCGAATTGTTGTCGTCGCTGCTGCTCTGAGACGCGTGCGTGGAATTTGTCGTCGTGAAGGCGCTAGGACACCGCGTGCGAGAAAGGGAAAAGTCGAGATCTGACGCGCACGACATGCTCAGAGTGGATGCAAATGTAGTTAGTATTCGCATGCCTGGGTACTTTGTTCATGTTATTTGGAAGTTTTCAGCCTTTGCAGATGTTGTTGTTGTTGTTGATGTTGTTGATGTTGTTGATGTTGTTGATGTTGTTGATGTTGTTGATGTTGTTGATGTTGTTAATGTTGTTGATGTTGTTGATGTTATTAATGTTGTTGATGTTGTTAATGTTGTTGATGTTGTTAATGTTGTTAATGTTGTTGATGTTGTTAATGTTGTTAATAATGTTGTTAATGTGGTTAATGTGGTTAATGTGGTTAATGTTGTTAATGTTGTTAATGTAGTTAATGTTGTTGATGTTGTTGATGTTGTTCATGTTGTTGATGTGGTTGATGTGGTTGATGTCGTGGGGTTGGCATGTTTGTTATAGTGACAAGTAAGCGCGGTTGGTTAGCCACCAACCACGACTAGCGCCAACGTTTTGCTTTCTCAGTGTCCGCCCCTGCCTTTTTTGCTCGCTTTCAAGTGCGCGCTTTCCAGCACTTTTTGTAAAACGCCAAGCAGCCTTGAGAAGGTGCGATCAGTGTTCCGTTGCCCGACCTAGCTGGGTTTAGCGCCACTTTTCTTTACGCGCTGTCCAGGTGTGTGATCTGGAGGCACCACCTGCCCTATATATTCCCGTGTCCCCCGCCCGAATCTCCCTTTTCCCTTTGCTCTTTCTTCTTCCACCACCACCAAATCATCTCCGCATTACTATCCATCACAAAACGCTAACGCGTCTCAACCAACAATCAACAACCCATCTCCACTAACACACTTTCATCATGACTGGACGTAAGTACAATGGACCACGCCTTGTTTTTATCCTCGTCGTCGCGTTTCGCATCGGTCTTGTTGTTGTCGTCGTCGCGTATACGATCGCTCCCAGGTGTCGCGCTTAGAGTTTGAGCCTCACCTTGCCGAGCCGAGCCTCATACGGCGCGTCGCACCTCGACACCCCGCTGCATCGCGACGATCCCTCAATCTCATCCTCAATCTCATCCTCAATCTCATCCTCAATCTCATCCTCAATCTCATCCTCAATCTCATCCTCAATCTCATCCTCAATCTCATCCTCAATCTCATCCTCACTTACCTGCACCACGACTCCGTGCCATCGCTGCACCACCTTCTCGTCGCACAGCATGCTAACATCCCTCTCTAGGCGGCAAAGGTGGCAAGGGCCTGGGAAAGGGCGGAGCCAAGCGTCACCGCAAGATTCTTCGTGACAACATCCAGGGCATAACCAAGCCTGCCATTCGTCGTCTCGCTCGTCGTGGTGGTGTCAAGCGTATTTCAGCCAGTAAGCTATCTTCACCTCATCACCACATACCATCGCATCACTAACAGTACCCCAGTGATCTACGAAGAGACCCGTGGTGTCCTCAAGACCTTCCTCGAGTCCGTCATCCGTGATGCTGTCACCTACACCGAGCACGCCAAGCGCAAGACCGTCACTTCCCTCGACGTTGTCTACGCTCTCAAGCGCCAGGGCCGTACCCTTTACGGCTTCGGTGGCTAAGCGTCTCACCCTTCTCGTCTCGACAATACACTTCGCCTCTCATCGACTGCCATTGGGTTCTCCGTCATGGGTCGCTGTGGATATCGTGGCTTGTTTTCTTCCGATAGTTCAGGCATATGGATATGGGTTTCGGCGTTCGGGAAATTGTCTATGGAGGCTCCATGATTCAATGAGGATACGCACCGTCGACGAGCCTCGCTCCTACGGGAGTTTTGAGTTCCTCGTCGCTGTGACTGAGCAGTCAATACAGAGACTACCACACCACTCTTGCCCACTTGCCATGGTCCTCCTGCATGTCATCTCTTCGTGCTCATGCCCATACTAACCGTGCTTACCGCCGATGCAATTACCCCCTTCATTCGTATAGCCCGTTTGCCCTCGGTTTGGCGTTGTCCCAACTCTCCACTGCCGAAATCACAGCCTCACACGACGCCGTAACCCCAAAGAGTCCTCCCTCAATCTTGATGGCCTCCAGACTCCACTTCTTCAGCTCCTCGTTCACACTCTCCACGCCATCCTCTACCACCAGCACATCATAGCCGCGATCACTCGCCTCCCTGACGGTGCTACTCACACAGGCATCCGCCGTGACTCCACAAACGACGAGATTCCTCACTCCCCTCCCTCTCAAGGCAGCATCCAACTCGGTATGCGTAAACGCCCCTCTGCCGGGCTTATCGATGACGGGCTCCCTCGGCAGCGGACACAGTTCCGAGATGATGTCGTGTCCCCTCTCGCCCCTAATCAGGAACTTGCCCATGGGCCCCTGCGATCCTATCCTCGCCCCATTGACCCCGGCCCTGTGCCTCTCCCTGGAAGAAATCGTAGCCAAGTGACCGTCGTGACCCTCCCTCGTGTGATAGATGGGGAACCCCGCCCGGCGGAACGTGGACAGGAGCGAGACGAGGCGCGGGATTATGGCCTGGAACCGCGCCACCGAGTA